ACTGATGACCATTCTGGGCCAGGCATTGCTGATAATGCGAATGGAATGGAAAACATGAAGAATCATTTTGTTTGGTATTTATACACCCTCAATTCATCAACTGTTGCCGATTTTGTACCGTAAACTTTATCTGTTTTGTATCCCCATAAAAAAGTCTAGTGGGTAAATTTTCTTTGTTCAAAGCTTAGTCTCGCTTCACCCATTATTTCAAATCAGTTAAACCTGAAAAGGAGTGAAATTTGAGCTATCAGCTTTTACAGTGTGTATACATTTTGGGGGGGGGCACAACATGTATATTTAACTAAACTAGATTCCTTCTGGATCTAAAGATCTATGACTTTGAAGCTGTTATTAATGTTAATACCACTTACCATCCCTTAGGCACTGGACTGAACACTTTACATCACTATCTCATTTAACCCACTTGAGAGCAACCCACTGTAAACTAATAACTCTCAGAAGTTAGCTAGATTATCATTAGCCTCTTTTCCTTGTTACAGATGAGAGAACCAGAGACTCCTAGAGGAGACCTCATTTGCCTAGGGCTGTATACTAGTTAAGGAAGGATTCAGCCTTCAGACTGTTAGAGAGAGCCCAAATGTACAAATTATGGTCTGTGTCTCCATTGTAGGGTTAAGTTTATAATTGAGGGATTTTTCTACTTCAGTCTAATCAAGGGCTCATCTTTAGATATCGCTTTTACACATGGATTTTTCCCTCTAGGATTCTGCCACTTTATAAACTACTGCTTAGGTCAAAATTAGCTGGATCTTTAAAGCAACCATGGGACTGGCTGACCTGTGAGTCAAGTCCCTTTAAGGCAAATTTTCGATTAGCCAAGGAAGACATAGTGCTGTCAAGGCCTGACTTCCAAACGAGAGCTCCTTCCTGCTCAGAGTTGTTTCTTAGGGCAGGTTGTTGGGAGACGGGCACGCCCACCAGCTGGCGGCTACACTGGTGACCTTTCATGCTAGTTTAGTTTAAATACATTTTGACATTTCAAACAAATTAATGTATTTTTACAAGGTGGGGCAACCACCACAAATTAGGCCAAGTGGTTTGCCTGTAGGCTGGGTCACTAGCAGAGCTTAACTGTTGTGCCTACATCTCTTTCGCCCCCATGGCCCAAACAGTAATGTGTATTTCTCCACAGAATCTACTTGGATAAATGCCAGCAACCTTCAGGGGTTACTCTCAGCCCCACCTCAGTAGCATATAAATCTTGGGTCTCTGCAACTAATAGATGCTAATTCTGACTGCCAGCAGCTCACAGACTCCATTCCATGTTAGCTTGTGTTAAGGAAATGCCTTGGTAGGAAATATAGTGTTTCTATTATGTGGGTCTAAAGCACCGGTTCCTTGAAAAATTACCTGGAAATGGGAGTATTTAACAGGAGAAGGATATAAAAGGAACTGACAACCTGAGAAAGGTTAAAAGGTCCGGTTTCTGAAAAGGCAGACCCTAGACTACTAAGTAGCCACACATCTTTCATCTGAGTGGATTTCTTAGACAAGCTGCCCAGCCAAATCAAATGGGAATTACAGGGATTCTATGCAGCTGGTAGAGAAAGTGTCTCAGAAGCACAAAGGTCACTTTAGTTACAGGAAACTGCCAGAGGGTGACTTATTTGATAGAAAAGAAAACAGACACAATAGCTGGTGCATTTTTGAGGTAATATTAAATCTAATAAACATGACACCAATAGTATTGACTTAAATCAGTTGAGCGAGTTGGAGAATTTAACAGGTTATCTCCCAACGACCAGCCTTTATCTCAGAGGCAGCCTTGACAGCAGCGAACAGAGTCTGAAACATATCCTTCTCTGACTCCTGCCAGGTGTGTTGTCCCTGGCCTCTGTCCTGGCCTCAGCCCTCAGACTGGGGATAATTAGAATGTCATTTCTGCCGGCTTTGTTTTTTCTGGGTCACTGACTTCAGACTCGATCAAAATAGGAGTGTTGTACTGAAATAAATACATTTCCTCTTCCTCAGGCAGCCCCAGCTTATTTCCACAGACAGCTTCTGTACAAGCATGATGGTGTATATCGAGGTCCCAAGTGGGGTCACGTGTCGGAGGAGGAGTCGGGACCCTCCGCAGCAGCAGGCGCTCACTCTCCGGTGGCAGGGCACTGACGTGCAAAGGCCTCAGACAGACGTGCTGAGGAACACATCAAGGCAAACTGCTCTGGGAGCTGTTAAACCTGGTGTTTAATGCTTATCCAATGGCCTTGGTCTGAAAGGCTCTGTAGAACATGCACAACACAAGCTCAGCTTTATACTCCATTAGCATTCAAGTTCCTAGCTGCCCAGAGGCATATGGTGCCAACCAGAGAAGGCCAGCCTATGAGGAGGTTGAGGGCACGCAAAGACATGGAGACAGAATGAGGTTGCTGGTTGTCTGGGAGAGACACTTGGAGACAGGGAGCAAAGAGCCCCAAGTGGTGCTACAGAGGAGGTCAAAGAAAACCTTTGTCTCCTTTACAGTTGCCCTCCGTTAAAAGACAGAAATAGTGGAGGGCCTTATCTCAGACTGACCTTTATCTACTTCATTGCTGAGTGTAAGGCCTCTTCCATCCAGGGAAATAGTGTGCCTCAGAATGCAATGACTATCTGTATCTTGTTTTCAAACATTCAGATTCACTAAGAAAAACAAAGCTTTCCTTGGGAATTCATTCAAGACACAAAGAAGAGTAGCTACGTTACTGTTACTATCTTGAACAGAAAAGGGACAGATTTTTCTGCCTTTGTCTAGGCTAGGAGATGAAAAATAAAGTACAGAATACGTTAGTGGTGGGGTGAGAGGGCACGTAATACAGTTCTCTGAGAAGTGCCCAGTGATAAATAGTAGCTATCAAGGAGATGTCAGGGCAGGCATTGGGCTAGAAAGGAACTAGAGTGGAGCCATGTTTGGTTGGTCTGTGGATCCCCAATGCCTACAACATGGCACAAGGTACACATACACACACTAATCCTTGTTTCTAACTCCTAAATGTGTCTCAAATCCATTTACTTCTCTCCATCCCCACTGTTGCCATCCTAGTTCATGCCAGTATCATCCCTCACCTGGACCACTGCAGGAGCCTCTAGACCAGGGGTCCTCAAACTACGGCCTGCAGGCCACATGCAAATACAAATATTGTATTTGTTCCCGTTTTGGTTTTTTTTTTACTTCAAAATAAGATATGTGCAGTGTGCATAGGAATTTGTTCATAGTTTCTTTTTAAACTATAGTCCGGCGCTCCAACGGTCTGAGGGACAGTGAACTGGCCCCCTGTTTAAAAAGTTTGAGGACCCCTGCTCTAAACTATCAACCTGCTTCCCATCTCTCCTCCTCCTCCATTATAGTTTCAACAGAAGCTAGTGTGATCCTTCTAGTACCTAAATATGACTATGGCACGCTCCCACTTAAAGCCCTTCAGTGGTTTCCCACAGCCAGAATAAAGATAGACATGTATATCCCTCCATTACCTTGTGTATTAGTTTGCTAGGGCTTCCTTAACAAAGTACCACAGACTGGGTGGTTTTAACAAAAGAAATTTATTTTCTCACAGTTCTGGAGGCTAGAAGTTCAAGACTGAGTTGTTAACAGGTTTAGTTTCTCCTGAGGCTTCTCTCCTTGGCATGCAGAAGACCAATCTCTTACTGTGTCCTCACATGGGATTTTTTTTCTCTGATAATACCCTGCTTCCTGACTCCTAGTCTGGGTGAAGTGCTCTCATATTCTCTCTGTTGCCTCCTCCTTCATAACATGGACAGTAATGTCATAGTTATTTTGAATCCCCAAAGCCTATCACAGATCTTAGCACAGAGAAGGTACTCAGGAAATATTCAATTAAAGAACTAATCAACCTTTTTCTTTGCTGAGCAAAGGGAGATATGTAGTGAACCAGGTCAACTTAGAATTCCAAATCACCAATTGATGTGCTGTACGTGAATATGCCACAAGATGGATGCTATGCTAATGGAAGGTCCTGTCCCAAAAGGTTACTATTCGAGTAAAATCTGGTTTCTCCAGCATTCTGTTTTCTAGAAGTCTGTATAACTTTGCTCTTCCATGCATCTATAGGACAGTGAGAGACATTTGCAAATGATTGTGACACAAAGATCCTAAAGCAGTGGTCCTCAAACCTTTGTGTGCATTACAATCACCTGGAAGGCTTATTAAAACACAGCTGGCTGGGCCCCCAACCCAGAGATTCTGATTCAATAGGTCTAAGTTGGAACCTGAGAATTCACATTTCTAACAAGTTCCTAGGTGATGCTGTTGCTGGTGGTCCAGAGACCACACTTTGAAAAACACTGCTCTAGAGCAGCAATTTTCAACCAATGTGCCGCAAGAATTTTTTAAACATGCAGTACCTGACTATTTAGTCAGGGGCACTGACCTCTTTTCCCTTACAGGTTTAATGATAAAATGATAACAGCCAACACAACAATAGCCATCTGCTGTGAATGCCCTGTCATGAACCATAAATATGTAGGTCATATAACGGTCACGTCGCACAATAAGGTTGTGTCTGATTGGTTAATTCTTGGTACCAGAAATCCTTATATCCAAGTATAGGCACCTGATTTTTTTAAAAGCCACTTTGGAGCAAAAAGGGTAATTACTATTATATTTTTTGTAAATCAATCAAAATTATACCTATTATTTGTCAGATTGGCAAAATACATAATGTATTTTTGGTGTGCTGCAGAATTTTAGTAATTAGTTTATGTGTGCCATAAGATGAAAAAGTTTAAAAAATCACTGCTCTAGGGAACCCTTTTGGAATTATTGCAAAAAAATAATATGCTTCAAATGGTATAAATGATAGATATGTTTACAGAACATTGGATCGATCATCCTCCCGCAACTTTGGAGGCAACACCAACATTGCTGAAATTCTTGAGACAAGAGCAACCAATTAGCCAGGTGTTTTTTGTTGTTTTTTTCCAAAGTAAAACTGCCCCTGGAAAGATATTATAACCTAATAGTGTGTGTTCTGTTCTTTTTGCAGGTGCGGTTAGAGTGGCCAACAGACCTTGCAGTCAATCCCATGGACAATTCATTGTATGTCTTAGATAACAATATTGTGCTGCAGATTTCTGAGAACAGGCGCGTGCGGATCATTGCAGGGCGCCCCATTCACTGCCAGGTGCCAGGTATCGATCATTTCTTGGTCAGCAAGGTGGCAATTCACTCCACTCTGGAGTCAGCGAGGGCCATCAGCGTCTCACACAGCGGCCTGCTCTTCATAGCTGAAACAGATGAGAGGAAAGTAAACCGCATTCAGCAAGTTACCACCAATGGGGAGATCTCCATCATGGCTGGTGCCCCCACTGACTGTGATTGCAAAATTGATCCCAACTGTGACTGTTTTTCAGGTATGACCTTTTTAGCAATTCTCCAGCTCCCCCTCTCTGTTTTCAAAAGAAAAACATGCATCAGAAAAGTCCAAAGGAAAACCAAAGTGTTGCTTCTGAACATTAATATGAGCTAGTGGAAAAAGCAGTGTGTTGGGGGTCAGATAGCCTACTATCTGATTGTTCTGCAGTTGACACACTGAGTGGCCCCAAGAAAGCCACAAAATCTTTTTACTACTTGCTTACTTCATCTGTTAAATAGAGGTGTCACTTGTCTCAATTATATCACCTTCCTGGTTTGAGGGTAGACTAATATAAATACAAATCCTGATAACTCTAAGAAGTTAAAACCATTATGCAAGTGTAGGACCATAATGATATTTGTACTTTGGAGAAAGAGAAACTAGGTAAAACCTACATTTAGTAACTTAGCTCAGGAAAAATATTACTTCCCCTAAGTAACTGTTTTCCAGATTGACAGCATGTGCTATTTGAAACCCAAAGGGACTAGGAACAGACTGCTTTGGAGACACATGGGTGGAATCAAAACTTAACGACAATGGAGGGGTCTCAAGACATTAATCTGCTACTTCCATTGTTATTGTTTGTTAAATCCAAAACTTTATCATGATCATCAGTGCCCTTTACTTTCAGTTGAAATAGGGGGGGAAAGAATAAAGGGAAAAAAAGAGCCTTTCCCCCATAACATGGAATGGATATTCCAGATAGCAAACAGTCCTCAAAATGTCAATAGATACATTTGTTGCTGGGATATGAAAATCCCTCCATGCTGCTTGCAGCCCTAATAAACTGTTCATCCAGGCTCAAATGGTTCTCTTTTAACCTTTGCTTTTACTTGGGCCAGAGAACTCTGGAGCAACTTGGTCGATATGACTTTTGATCAATATTTCCAATGTTTTCCTGGACAGTTTTATAGTTATTTTGCTAATTTATATTTTTCATTCAAGACAAATCTAATATCTATTCTAGTTATCAAAGTTGATGTTCTGAATCATTGTTTCACTTACACACTTAGTGTACTTTGACAAATGTGACAATGGGAATTAGCTGAAGAAAGGTCCTCTAGGCACAGTAGGATTGGAAAGGTCTGAGATAGATCCTAAAAGTATTGACAGACATTAAGTCTCATGGATTTCCAGCCAAATTTTGTTGGCTGTTATTATTTGCTGTTTTTTGTATCTTGCAGTACAATAGATTCTGAACAGCAGGATTGAGGATTTCACAAAATTGGTATTACTGAGATAATTGCATCTTACTGTTTATCTTCAATGGTACTGACTCAAAAATTTTGAATAATGGGTTTCAAATTTGTCAAGGAGGACATGCAGAGAATGCTGGCTAACTGTTCCCTTTCAGATGATTCTTGATGCACAGTGATTTCTGTATACTGTTTTTTCATAGAAATGTTTATGACAATTATTAAAATCAGGGTCTTTCTCCCACAGGTGATGGTGGCTATGCCAAAGATGCAAAGATGAAAGCCCCTTCCTCTTTAGCAGTGTCGCCTGATGGCACCCTCTATGTGGCTGACCTTGGGAACGTTCGAATTCGAACCATTAGTAGGAACCAAGCCCACCTGAATGACATGAACCTTTATGAGATTGCTTCACCTGCCGATCAGGAACTCTACCAGTTCACCGTCAATGGAACCCACCTGCACACCTTGAACTTGATAACAAGGGACTATGTGTATAATTTCACCTACAATGCTGAAGGTGACTTGGGCGCCATTACCAGTAGCAATGGCAACTCTGTGCATATTCGCAGGGATGCAGGCGGAATGCCCCTTTGGCTTGTAGTGCCTGGCGGGCAGGTGTACTGGCTGACCATAAGCAGCAATGGAGTTCTGAAAAGAGTATCAGCCCAAGGCTATAACCTGGCCTTGATGACCTATCCAGGAAACACTGGGCTTCTGGCTACCAAAAGTAATGAAAATGGATGGACAACCGTTTATGAGTAAGTTTCTAATTTTCAGCATAGGCTTTGTCAGGTTTTTATTTGAAGTCTTATTATACAGTGGGGCCTTGACTTACGAGTGTCCCGACTAACGAGTTTTTTGAGATACCAGCTGTCTCTCGGCCAATTTTTTGCATTGAGTTGATAGAGTAATTTGAGTTAACGAGCTCAGTCTCAGAATGAATGAAACTCGTAAGTCAAGGCCCCACTGTAGTAGGAAAATGGTTTAGTGCTTGCTGGTTGTTACATGCTAGTTTCTCCTAACAAATACAATCTATATATAAAAGGCTAATATGCAAAGTGTCCCTGCGGGAGGTCAACCAGGAGACAGGGAGTTCTATTGCTTGCTATGATGTGTGCTGACCACCAGGGGGCTGTGTGGAATGAAGGAAGGCCCTGGCCAGCAGCCAGAAGGCCCTGATCAGACCTGTTCGCCGGCCAGGCCTAGCGACCCTACCCATGCATGAATTTTGTGCACCAGACCTCTAGTAAAAAATAAAAAGTCAGGGAGGAAATTTAACCCAATTCCTAGGTTTTGGGCCCGTTTCTCCAGAGCAGTTTTGCAGAGCATAATAATAAAAACACAGACGAAATGAAGAATCAAGGGTGGCACTGCAGGAAACAGGAATAATGTAGAAGTCCATGTACTCAAGAAATTTACAGCATAGCTCAGACAACAAGATAACATTTTATTTAAATAACTAAGCTAGAAAAGTGTTTTAAAGCAGCAAAGAAGCAGTGTGTATTTCTTGATCCCGGTGGGGTTTAATGAATGAATAAATGAATGTGTGCCCAGCCTAGCCCAGCCCAGCCCAACTGTGGGAGGTAAGTGGGAAGTTAGAACATAAGAAGTGGACCCTGGGAAGCAAGTGTGAAATGATGTTGAGGCAAGTGCAGAATGGGAGAGGCTGCACTTCATTGGCTACTTCTGTGAAATTGGGAGCCAAATGCTCCTGTGCAGGGTTGGGCTTCCCCCTTTCCCCGCACTAGTCAAATAACCCAACACATGTCAGCATTCACAGACTGGATCTGTGATAACTTTGTTTAACAAGGCATTAACACAAGATGTGTCTGACAGCGAGCTACAAGGAGGTGTCATGACACAGAAATAGAGACCATTGTCCTTGCCTTTTAAAGCATGGACAACCTTGTTTGCAAGTCAACACATTTAGAAAGCTAGTCTGCCAACACTCAGCAAGCATCTTTCCCACAAAGGAAACTGCTGATTTTTTAAGCAATTTCCTGAGTGAAGATCATCCATGGAATCTGAACCTCTGGGTCTGAAATAGCATTAATGTGAAGAATGTGACCCGTGGAGATATTAAGTATGAGGGGTTCCAAGTGTGACTATTCTGTGAGGATATGGAGAATATGAAGAGAATGTGTCCAGACCCAGGAAACCCTCCTAAGGAAAGGGACAAAACAATTGGCCTTCAAGTTTTGGCTCATTTCCCAAAGAACTGCCACTTATACAAAAGAGCTGGACAACTATTTTAGTTTCACTTAGAAAAATGTATTCAGTTGTTTCTGTTGCAAGTCTTCCTGTATTTTTTTGAGGTTTTTCTCTTACATCTTAATAACAGTAATAAAAGCCATTATTCACTGAAGCTTTACTATGTGCCAGGTACTGGGGTAGGTGATTTACGTACACTATTATTTTTATGATCCCAAAAAAAACATCATGGGATAGGTGCTTCTAGTATGCCTGTTTTATGGGTGATGAAACTGAGGCACAGAATGGTTAACTTGTCCAGATTCACACAAATGTCCAGCATTCAAACTCCAACTGTCTGACTCATTTTTAAATACCTTAAGAAAGATAAAGTTTCTAGTGAGATTATTTTTTTAAATTATTATTATTATTATTATTATTATTAATCCTCACACAAGGACATGTTTTACTGATTCTACAGAGAGGGGAAGGGAGGAAGGGAAGAAGGGAGAAAGAAACATCGATGTGAGAAACATCAATCGGCTGCCTCCCATACACGCCCTGACTAGGGATCAAACCCCCAACTTAGGCATGTGCCCTGATTGGGAATGGAACCCTTCTGTGCATAGGACAATGCTCCAACCAACTGAGCCACACCAGCCAGGGCAAGAATATCTTTTTTTAATTTATTTATGCAAGATCACACTGCAGCTGAAATTAGACAAACTATTTTGAAACCTAATGGTTGAATCTAGCTAAGCAATAAGAAATGGCTGAGGGAAGGGGGGGGGGATAAGAGATCAACCACAGGACTTATATGCATGCATATAAGCATTACCAATGGACACAGACACTAGGAAGGCTGGGGGGTGAGGTGGCCAGAGAGAGGTCAATGGGAGAAAAAGGAGACATATGTAATACTCTATGTAATACTTTAAACAATAAAGAATCTTAAAAAAGAGAAATGGTTTAAGTCCCAACTAGTTTTCAAAATAAAAAGATCAATCATTCATTTATTTATCAAACCATCACATTATACATTTTAAATATATACCATTTTAGCCCTGGCCAGTGTCTCAGTGGTTAGAGCATTGACCTGCACACCAAACAGTCTCAGGTTCGATTCCCGGTCAAGGGAACTTACCTGGATTGCAGGTTCCATCCCTGGCCCCTGTTGGGGCACATGTGGGAGGCAGCCAATATATGTGTCTCTCTCATATCAATGTTTCTCTCTCTCTAAAAATCAATGGAAAAGCCTCACCAGTGTGGCTCAATGGTTGAACATAGACCCATGCACCAAGAGGTGCCCTGTTCGATTCCCAATGAGGGCACTTGCCCAGGGTTGCAGGCTCAATACTCAGTAGGGGGCGTGGAGGAGGCAGCCAATCAATGTTCATGTTTCTATCTCATCAATGTTTCTAGCTCTCTCTCCCTCTCCCTTTCTCTCTCTCTGAATTAAAATGCATTTTTTAAAAAATCAATGAAAAAAATCACTGGGTGAGGGTTAATAATTTTATTTGTCAATTACACCTCAATAAAGCTAGAGGGAAAAAAACACACAAAGTAACCCATTTGTGGGTTCACTTATTTGTTCAATAAATATTTCCTGAGCACCTACCCATGCCAGGCATTGTTCTGGTGTCTGTTACACAGACATGAATAAACCAGATAAAAATATCTACCCTCATAGAGCTTAAGTTGTACTGGAGAGAGAGACAAGTAAAATGTACAGAACTTCAGATGGTGATACGTTCTAAGGATAAAATAAAGCAGGGTAAGGGAGATTAATATGGGGCAGGCCCTGGCTGGTGTTGCATGGGCCTGTGCACTGAATAGCCAAGGGTTCAATTCCTGGTCAAGGGTATGCACCTGGCTTGCAGGTTTGATCCCCAGCCCCAGTCAGGGCACATGCGAGAGGCAATCAGTTGATGTGTCTCTCTCACATGGATCTCTCTCTCTCTCTTCCCCACTCTTCCAACCCTTCCACTCTCGCTAAAAGTCAATGGAAAAAATATCCTTGGGTGAGGATTGGTAACAAATAAAAAAGAATATGGGGCAGAAGCACTTTTATTTCAAGTTGGGTGGTCAGGGAAAGCCTAACTAAAAAGATAACATTTGAGTACAGTAGTTCCCTTTATCCTTGGTTTTCTGTCAGCAGTTTCCATTATCTGTGGTCAACCATTGTCTGAAAATATTAAATGGAAAATTACATAAATAAGTCACAATTTTTAAATTGTGTGCTGTTATGAGTAGTGTGATGAAATCTCATGCTCTGCCTCTCCTTCCCACCTGGGACATGAATCATCTTTTTGTCCAGCATATCCATGCTATAGACACTCCTCACCATTGGTCACTTAGAAGCTTTCTCATTTATCAGACTGACTGTCAAGATCTCAGTGTTTGTGTTCAAATAACCCTTATATTAATTAATAATGGCCCCAAAGCCCAGGAGTAGCGATGCTGGCAACTCACATATGCCAAAAAGAAGTTGTAAAGTACTTACTTCCTTTAAGTGAAAAGGTGAAAGTTCTCGAGTTAATAAGGAAAGGGGAAAAAACATGCTGAGGTTGCTAAGATCTATGACAAGAACAAACGTTTTATCCATTAAATTGTGAAGAAGGAAAAAGAAATTTGTGCTCATTTTGCTGTCGTATCTCAAACTGCAAAAGTTATGGCCACAGTGCATGGCAAATGCTTAATTAAGATGGAGAAGCCATTCAATTTGTGGTTGGAAAACATGAACCACATTCACAGAACTTTTATTAAAGTATATTGTTATATGTTCTACTTTATTATTACTTATTGTTGTTAATCTCTTACTGTGCATAATTTACAAATTAAACTTTATCATAAGTATATACTATGTATAGGGGGGGGGAACAGTATTTAAAAAGGATTTGGTACTGGCTGCAGTTTCAGGCATCCATTGGGGATCTTGGAACATGTCTCATGTGGATAAGGGAGGACTACTATACATAAATACCTATAGGAGGTGAGGGAGTGAGCCATAAGGATATCTGGGGATGGGGTGGGGGGGGTAGGAAGAGAGAGAACATTCCAAGCAGATGGAACAGCAAGTGCCAAGGCCCTGCAACAGGAACAAACCTCATGTGTTCAAGGAATAGTAAGGCAGCCACTGTGACTGGAGTGGAGTAAGAGTAATGGGAAGATGAAACCTATGAAGTTACAGGACTACTTTAGGTAGAGCTTTGTAGGCCTCTGTAAAGACTTTGACTTTTATTCTGAGTAACAGGTGGAACCACTGGAGAATTTTGACTAAAAGAGTGACACAATCTGGCTTATATCTTTAAAGAATCATTCTGTATTGAAAAAAAAATTGTATGGTGGAAGCAGAGAGGATTTGCAATAATCCGGGAATAAGATGGTGACTTAGATCAGGGAGTGAAGGCAGTAAGAAGTTATAAATTCCTAAATATATTTTGACAGATCTGTCAGGACTTACTGACAGATTGGATGTGGGCGTGGGAGGAAGAATGGTCAGATATCTTCAAAGTTTTTTGGCCTGAGTAACTGGAAGTTGGGATTTTCATTTACCAAGATAGGGGGG